CAACAACAAGTTCAACCACAACAACTAGCTCAACAGCAACAAGCTCAACAACAACAATTTTCTCTACAACATCATCAAGTTCAACTTCCTTAACAACATCAAGAAGTTCCATTTCATCAACAACTTCAATTTTAACCGATATGTTCATGACGTCAGTAAAGTCAACTGCATCAACAATACCAAATTCCTCGATACCAGCAACCACAACAATATCAAATTCGGTAACGAGTTCAATTTTAATCGTTATGCTGAATATGTCAAGAACCTCAACATTATCAACGGCATCGGGTCTATCGAACACTTCAACTGTAGCGGCTTTGTCGTCAACAGAATCAAGTTCATCGGCAACTTCAGTGCTAATCAATAGGTTTACGTCATCAGAAGGATTAACAACAAATAGACAAACATCATTCGCTTACGTTCCTACTGGTCCTCAATGGCTTTTAATACTCTTTTGTTCCGTTATCATCTTACTGAATAAGTAAATGGAACAATTCACCTCAAAACGTATGCCTTCATTTTGCTTTTATTGTTCATGAATCATTTGCTTTAATTGTTCGTGATTTATTTGCTTTTTGTTTATCAATAAATTCAAATACTTGCATTATTTCTCAAAGTTTTAGATTCACCTTTTATGCTACAAATTCTTATATATTAAATTAATAGATCTTAATATAATTAATGAAAAGTATTGAATTTCAACATGAAGATATATAATGTTGAAATAAATGCTGGCAATCAATCTTAATACATTGCGTATTTAATGCAAAAACAGCTCTTAATCAAACATTGCTGTAGAAATTCTACACGCAAGGGTGTGAGTGTGGGTATGGACGGGTGTGGGCGAGTGTAGGTGGGATGTGTATGGATGAGGATCTGGGTGTGGTTGTTTGTATTCTTCTTATTTATTACTTACACCCACACCTACACCCTCATTCTGTCTCAGCACCGAATTCGCACCATGATCAAAAGTAAAATCGAGAAAGGAAGTAAAAGCGATAAGGATCTTTTTCTGTTTACATTATTATATGTAAACTAAGTTGGAAAGAAAAAGTGCAACGTACAAATACCGCATGCATTCGCAAGTTGAAGTGATTTTGTAAACTATTCTGAAGAAAAAACGTATTAACCAAATAAAACTTCGAAACAGTAAGTTAAACAAAGATGTGTGTGTGTGTGGATGTCTTTTGAAACAGAATCTTGATTTTCACAATATATTTCAGATAGAAAAAATGGTTGAAAAAGTATCACAATGTGTTGATTCATGTAAATGTTGCGAATTTGGAGGATATTGGCCATCGCTAGAAAGTGATCAATGTGGCGGTTGTGGACATCCTTATAGTTCCCATGGCTGCTGAAGATTTGATAAATTTATTCATAATAAGCACAGAACTTTTTTATTTTTTAAAATAGAAATCCACTCTGACACTTCACCCTTGTTCTTTTGCTTGACCCTTTGAGTTCTGTACTTTTTTTACCAAAATAAATTTAATGAAATATGATATCAAGTAACTAGACGGCACCAGAACACATATATATAAGTCATAATAAAATGCGGCTAATGATATTACAATTAAAACAGCATGAGCCCACAGCCACACCCACCTCTAATATATCATCATAATCATAATAACATGTGGCAAGTCAACAATTATATCGATGGTTAGCACCATTAGATATTTCTGAATAATATTAGTTTAACTGTGAGATGAGGATCAGTAATGGTGAGTGGGTGCGACTCCTCTTCAATTTCTACACCTAGATTCGCACCTACACCCTATAAAACTTTATCATTATTTTCATTGGTATTTATGGTAGGAATAAATATTGTTAAGAAAGTTTTCTTTTTGTTTTGTTTTTAAATGTTTAATTAATTTCGAATAAATCGCACACTCACACCCTTAAGATAGTTTATGAATTTTGTTACATGTTGGAAACTTTCAATTTTTTAATGTTTTGAATGACTCACTTTCAAAATAAAAACCCATTTATTTTTTACTTTGCATTTGTCTCACTCTGAAGTTCATATTTTTTCCACCAAGATGACTCAATAAATCTACACACTTGTTGTTTTTTTTCTGTGTCTATGTTGGAAACTATTATGCAATTATAAATATTACATTCTTTCATTTTTTGAATAACGAACGCTTTATTATTGATTTACAACATTGAAAATATCTATATGGAACAAATTAAACGTCAACGAAGTAATAGTGTGAATAATTGTGATAATAATAAAAAACAAAAGATAGAAGGTAAAATATACATAGAATTCTTTTTTATAATTTCTATTTTTTTTTTCAGTTGAGACGAATTGGTGAGTCAACAAAAAAATATTCGTTAAAATGAATGTTCTTCTTTTTGTTTTAGTTTATTAAAAGAATTTGTCACATGTTTTGAAGATCTGTCTAATGAATTAATCTATGAAATATTTGAATTATTAGATTTTCATCATGTTTATAAAGCTTTTTATTCACTTAATACACGATTTTATAATCTTATAGTTAATTCAACTGTTCCAATTGACATTAATCTTTCCTCTATATCAAAATCGACATTTGAACGATACAATAAAGATATTATTCTTCAGAATAAACATCGAATTCATTCATTACATTTATCAAATCCGTGTTTATATGATGATATTTCTTCACCAATTCATATTCTATCCCAGTTTCTTCGTCTTGAAACACTTAGTCTTAATAATATAGAATCAATACATCTTGAGTATCTCCTTCCTACATTAGTTTCTTTATCATGCCTCTCTTCATTGTCTATCACATCTAACGACATTATTCGAAATAAGACTTCTATCTATTCTCAGATAGTTCGTCTGCCTGCATTAAAATATTGCAGCTTATCGTTGAAAAGATCAAATTGTGGTGAATCATCATTGTCGACAGTCAATGAATACAGTCCCATCGAACACTTGATCATCAAACATGATATAACCACCAATGAACTTTACAGCTTATTATCGCATGTTCCTCAACTTCGTCGTTTATATGTTTCTGATATATGCAATTCGTGGTGGAAAGATATAAAAACATCTGTATTTGTATTACCTTATTTGACGCATATTTCACTTAATCTAAGCTCAATATACTTCAATGCACTTGAAGAAATGATGATAGATATTTTTAATCAAGTACAAGTTTTACATATTTCTATACGTTATATTTACAATGAAATGTATGGCAATGCTGATAAATGGGAACAGTTGATATTATCTCACATGCCAAATTTACGTATATTCGACATTCAATATGACAGTTTGTCATACAATATTACTACTGACAATCATAATGGTAATCAAGTGATATCGAATACTACGTCTGATAATTTTACATCTTCATTTTGGATCAAACGGCAATCGTTTTTTACACAACAATATTTTCAAGAACAAAATAAAAATCGTACAATCTTCTATTCAACAGATCCATATAGGTATGAATAAATTAGATTTTGAATTCTACTATATGTATATTATTTTTACTTTTTAGAAGAAAACATTATACATTGTATAACAACATTTATCAATCAACCTGTTTAAATTCGAAGGAAACGCACCTAAAATCTGTTCAAAATCTTAAAATTCAAAATGATAAAGAAACAATCAATTGTAAATATTATTTCCCAAATGCTACCACGCTTACTCTTCAAAATAAATTGTCACGTACTTATAATTTAATTTCAGTTAATCTTAGCCGTGTTATTCCTTTAAAGCAACTTACCAAATTAGTTATTGAATCTAATCCTATTTCTTTGACAAAATTAATTGAATTATTACGTTGTACACCTCATATTCATACATTAGTACTTAAATCTATGTCACTTTATGGAATTAATTATAACTCTATCCAACAAAATCAATCTTTTCAATTGGTATCCAATACAAATACTATTACAAACGTGACTTTTAATAGAGAAGGTACATTAGAGAAACTTCAAATACTTGTTGCATTATTCCCTCGAATCCAACATCTTACAATAAAGCCCCATACGAAGAACTTAGAATCATGTATACGATTTCTAGTAGAGAAAACAAATCGAAATACTAATCATCTATGCTCATTATGTCTTTTAACGACAGCTAAAAATTGGCTTACAAGATTAAACACGTTAATTGCATCTGAGACTTTACTTGATGATTATATGTTAAAAATGATCGACTGGAATCTTTATTTATGGTGGTAACGTTGATATATATTTACAAAGTATTTTGTTTTTTAATTTTATTCTTTATTAATAAACAAGAAAACATATCATTATATGACGTTAAATTTTTCATAGCATAAATATCAAGTCATACGAATAAAAGGAATCACGAAAATAAGGGTGCGAAAATTGATAAAATAAAGAAAAGACACTCACACCTGCACACCCTCAAGATGAGTCAACAGCATTTTTTACAATCAAATTCAAATAAATCATTGCCTTTGTCCATGGTGAATCTGTATGTATAATTTTTTTATCACCTTTACTAGCAGTAATCTCCAGTTTCTGTGCATAAATACACATTTGTAGACGATCTGGATCATTATTCAATGTAAATTTAATTGCATTATTTAGATTTGATGGATCCAATATCTTCACGGCAAAAGTCCATTCATCTGGTAAAATATCACAATCAGTTTTAGACCATGGTAAACTCATACTGTCGATTTTGTTAAATTTCTGCGTGATATTTTCTTCAGTATCAGCTTGTGGATAAATTTTTTCGTTGAAAATAAAACGCATTCTTCCACAAAAGCTTGTATCCTCCTTTGGAATGTAATCATAGATGTAATAACCGTTCTTATGTGTACCATGAAGTTCTCCGCCCGTAATATTTAACGAGATATGACTATATCGCATTAACAGTGCATGTTGAATTTGGGAATTAATATAGTTTTCTTCTTCGGCTGACATGATTGCGTATATAAGAGAATGTTGTTTAACACATAAAATTTATCGAAAGAAAAAAATACTAAGGTAGATAAGATATATCTCATGATTGTTAGACATGCGTTAGTAGATTATTCTGATTCACAATTTATGATGAAACGAACAAGCAGAAAAATGAATCACTATCATAGTATGAAACATGAAATCATAAAAACACGTGGAAGATACTGTAATTCATTGTAATAGATTTTAAGAAACTCTTTTTCTCTTTAGTCTGATAGAGAAAGTGTATTACCTTTGCGAATGTGAAGGTGTACACCATTTGAAAATTTCACTCAGATCAAATTTTTGGTATATGAAACAGACAAAACAATATTACTTATTACTGAGTATTACAATATGAAAAGATTCTATGAGAATAAGAACACCTGCCACACGGAATATATATATGAAAACAGATGCGTTTATAGACACAATCATGAGGTATAGCTTCTTTTTTGTTAAACTTGCTTTTGCTCTCTGCAATCTAATTAATTACTGTACAAGTGATATACCCAATTTTGTCTCAGGTTTTGGTCTAACAGTATGTTCTTCCACTCAACTTAGTAATGAACTTTATGAAGTAGTTGTATCATCAAATGAAGTGCTTGGTAATCAAATCATTCGAATACTTGTCCCACAAAATTATTCTACCAGTGGTAATAATCATCGTTATCCCGTCCTTTATTTATTACATGGCGCATATGCTGATGCCACAGCTTGGACAGGTGCAGCTCAAGATGTGACTGGTAATAAATCTTTAATTGCTGTCATGCCTAACGGTGGTCCATTTGGTTTCTATACTAATTGGATGATTCCTGGTAGTCTTGCTCCACAAAATTGGCGAATATTTCATATGGAACAATTAGTTCCTTGGATTGATTTTAATTTACGAACAGTAGATAAAAAACAAGGTCGCGCTATAGCTGGTCTTTCTATGGGTGGATATGGTGCTATTCATTATGCAGAATTATATTCGTATAATTTTATTTATGCTGCTAGTTTTTCTGGTGCTCTTGATTTGCTTGATCCACAAGTACAAAATCTTATTCTACATTTAACAACAATCGATGATAAACCACTTGTTGGTCCATTTGGTTATCCTTCTGAACCATTAAGTTCAAATGGATGGTTTGCACAAGATACAATCACTCGAGTTGCACAACTACGTGACATACATATAGCATTGTATAATGGTAATAATGATTATACGGATTCGACATTTCTTCCTGGTTGTTATCGTTTACGTGATTTATTAGTATTATTGAATATTCCAGTTTATTTCGATGATTATGGAGATGGGCAATCGATTGGACATGGTTGTGATGGAAAACATGATTGGGCATGTTGGAAGGCCTCATTTATTGATGTTTTACCTCGCATGATGGCTGTCTTACAACAGGGATATTAAAAGTATCGATGTAGCTTAGATAAATCAGAGATATTCACAACCAAAATAAAAACATTTCATTTTAATTATAGTAGTTTTAATCAATAGTGCATAATAAACGATGAAAAATATTTTCCTCTTCTAGGACAATTTTCAATCTACTGAAAACTTTCTTTACGTTCACTATGATAATGGATCCTGAGGGTGTCGGCGAAGAGAAAAGATACCAACACCTATACCTTCGTTCAACATTTCTAGACAACATAACCTTCCTGCTTAGTATTTTATAACAGAATATCGATCTTCGACTGACATATAGTTTTTGCATAAATATCATAAATGATTTTCAAAGATTTATTTTGCATTTGACATATGATCACCAACTTATTTAAATCCACATTTCTCATAGAAACGAATTGCATTTATATTCTTGTAGTAGACTTCAAGAAGAATACGATTTCGTTGAGAATCAGAAAATTTTCTACTTCTTTTGTTCTGATAAAAGAATTTTTATAAAAAAAAAACGAGATTCTCTAATTTTACCAATAAGATTTTCATCAATATCATTATGTAATAAAGATAGCTCCTAGTAACTATACTAATATGCTGCTCATATAATATTTTCTGTGTATTTTTCATTTTTTAAAATATACTTTTCCATAGTATAAAGACGACTGGCACACTGATAATATTTTATAGTTTTTAGTTGATCGTTATGTATTTTTAACATTCAACTTTGCTCTTGATTTATATCATATTTCACGAATTACTTTTTCAATGAGTTTTATGTTATTTACAATTATTACAGGTAAAAAAATAATTTCTTTTCTAGCACGTGTACTTTACATATTGTCGTAGAAAAAGAAGAGAGCATGCTTTTATTATCAAATACGATGTATATATTTTTACTTATTCGTATGATAAGAAAAATATACGGTTGACTTAACGAATAAGAAAAAATATGTTTATACAGTTTTTCTTTCCTCACAATTTCATCGATATTAAACTGAAAGAATAAAACGAAATATTCAGTCATGATTTGGGAAAAATTAAAGATTATTCTTTCAATTATAATTGATTTATTTATTTCATTATGTGAAATTCCATTTTTAATATTCAAAACAAATAAAACTATTTCTACTCCCGTGAGATTTAAATCTCAACATCAACATAAACTTGATATAACTCAAATTGCAACAGAAATTCGTTCTATTACAAATCATAATCCATCCGTCCAAATTGTCATGGATCGAAAATCAGGTGAGGGACATTCAACGAGATCAACAGCTTATAAAGATGGAAAATATAGAATAAACATATCGTCATTAAATTCAATTATTGAAATCAATCAACATGAAGAATATGCTGAAGTTGAAGCTCTTGTTACATTTGAAGAAGTTTGTAAAGCAACAATAAAATATGGTCTGTTACCTGCAGTTGTTCCTGAATTTAAATCAATAACAATTGGTGGAGCAATTCAAGGTCTAGGTATTGAAAGTACTTCTTGGAAATATGGTACTTTCGATAAAACTGTTATCGAAGCAACATTAATTACTGGTCATGGAAATATTCTTTATGCATCGGAAGTTCCTGATTTATGGAAAAATCTACCAGGATCAAATGGTACAATAGCATTAATTGTTGCAGCTCGTATTCGATTAGTTCAAGCTACTGAATGGATTCATTTAAGATACGTTTTTTATCCTGATTTATCAAATTTCTTAAATGATATTGAAAAGAAAATTTCTATACAAACGAATACTGGTTGGATTGGTGATAATCAAGTTATAGATGCAATTCATTTTTGTGGAAAAAATCAAACGATGAATGGAATTGTAGCTATGTATGGAGGGTGTGTTTCTAGTATTCCACGGAATGCATCTATACGTAAAGAAACGGTGTTTTCATCTTTTTTCTACCAACATGTTAAGAGTATTTTAACTAAGAAGAAAATGACAAATGATCATAATGAAACTAATCTTTATGAAGATTATATACCAACACTTGATTATCTTTTTCGTCATGATAGAGGTGCATTTTGGGCTGCTGCAGAAGTAGCTTCGACGGATCCATTAATTGGCTTTATTTTCCGAAGACCTTATCTTCTTTGTCTTCTTAATTATTTTTTAAAAACTAAAACACTTTATAAAATAGCTATGCTCACGTCTGATCAAAAACGTGAATCAACGGGAATGATTCAAGATGTTGATGTTCTACCTGATCGTGCAGAAGAAATTATTAATTGGGCAATTAATAAAGATCTTAATATGATTTGGCTTTGTCCTGTTCGTTGTCATGGAACTGATGAAAGTTTTTTTAGTGTTGCTCAACCTAATACACCTTTCGTTATGAATATTGGTCTTTATGGAGTGGCCAAAGATCTTCCTCAATCAAATTTAGATTTACAAAGATTAGTTATAAAATTAGGAGGAAAATGTGGTTTATATGCACATATTTATCTTGATAGAGAAGAATTCTGGAGTTGCTATAATTATAAAGAATATATTCGGTTAAGAGAAATGTCAGGTGGACACGTATTTATGGATCTTTGGGACAAAGTTGCTGGAATTGTTTTCTCGAAAATTTCAATAAAAAGATAATTACAATATTTTTATTATGTTTACAGAAACATTTTACAATACAAATAAATTATTATTTTTCTCATTGATGTTAAATTAACATTAACCAAGAATTAAAAATAAGAAAACAAATTTCAAAGATAAAATTGTGTGTACTGCAGAAAGTGTATATGGAAATATCAGTATTTCTGTAATAACTCGGGAATGGCTCAACTTCAAACTCGATCGAGATTTTGATGAGACTGAATTATGTAGAAAATTTTGATCAAAATCCACCTTTCCCTTTCGAAAGTTATCGTGTATACGGACGGACATACTGACCGATTCGAAAATGTATTTACTTTTTGAGCACACAAAAATGAGTAGGAAAGTGAAGCTTATTCATTCTAGAATCTTCGAAAACTTTTTCACCCGATATTATTACTTTTATATTGGGCAATTTGTTCCACCTTTATCTTTTCTATTCATAAATACTAAGATAAATATGAAGACAAGAGAAATATGTGTGTATTATATAAAATAAAAGTGACTCAATATATGACAGAAAATAAGTAAAAGTAAAGATAAGAACAGTTGAATATTATATTTCACAACAGAACAAAAAAAAGAAAAACTTTCATGAGGAACCATTAAGTAAATGAATTCTTTTCATATTTAATTACTCCATAACTATAATTATTTAAGATTTTTATTGCTTTATTTTTTTATAAAGTTTTTCAAAAATAAATTTTGCCATTTGATCATAACCAGCAGCTTTCAAATGAATAGGATCATCCCAGATAGCTTTTCTTTGACTAATATCTTTCATACTATGATATGGAATTTTTTTATCAAGATCAATAAGACAAATTCTTTTTTTATCTTCATAGTTTTCAGTAAAATTTCTAATCATTGTATTTAATATTCGTCTTTCTTTATCTTGTTTATGTTCTGGTAAATAATGACCATTTTCTATAACAGTCATAACAGCTAATCTTGTATTTTGAAGAACCATATTATACATTAGTTTTAAACCTTCATTAAAAATTTTATCAGCATTTTTATTATAAGCTAAATCATTAGTTCCACCTAATATAATTATCCAATCATAATATGATTTAGTTTTATTTGATAAAATTCTTTCAAGTCTTTTCATCATTGTTGGAACAACATGTTCACCAGTTACACCTTGTTGATCAACAATTATTGGAATATGAACAGATGAAAATAAATTTGTTAAATTAATCGAATATGAATGAAAAGATAAACCACGATCACTATAACCAGCAGTCAATGAATCACCAATTGCAAGAAAACGACGAGGTAATGAAGATTGTATTTTATTATTGAATATCAATGAAGATTTCAGTTTACTGTCAAATAACAATAAAATAAATATTATGAAAACGAAAAAGCTAATGAATAATAATACATTCCATATGTTATTGCACAGTTGCATCAAGATAAAAATATGTGTTATAAAACAAGAAAAAATTGAAAATTAACATTGATTCATTTAGTTATAACTTCGCCTTGAAATAAATAAGTGACATTGTTGTTGTAGAAATATACTTGTCATTTATTGGTTGGATATAGATGTCTATATCGTTCATTGTGTTTGTATTTAATTTAACATATTAAGTCTTTCACAACGATATGAATAAAATAACAACTAGATTATAACAATTTGGAACTGAAAAATGACTTAATAGAGTCTTCAAATAGAATCAAAACGAAACTATAATTTGCAATTGAACATTAGCATTTATAAAGTTATCATAGAAATATTTTATAATGCAAAGAATACATTTTATATTAATTTTCAGAGCTGGACAGAACATATCTTTCAATAAATATGGAAAATGATTTTTTTATTATTAAAACTTAACGAATGACAATAAATCACGCCTATATTTATTGAACATAGTATCATAGATGAATCCTATCATATTATTTTCATTTTTTTCTCTATATAAATACATGTCAAGTTCAAATCACAGTTATTATCACAAGTTTTTCGTCATAAATCAGTTCAATAGTTATCATGAAAGGTCTTTCAATAATGTCTTAAAAATCATACAATTAAAATTTGATTTTCTAAGTACAGTCAAGGATTTCTATCTTGAGGTAGGTGAATATGGGTGTGAAAGATGCGTAAAATATTTACATCCTCTGATAATAATAGTATTTGTTTAATATATATGAATATCAATTAGTTTTATAACCATTAATATATTCATTTCTTTGAATCCAGTTTCCGAACCAATCAAATTGCTGATAATTACCTCCTAAGTTTTAATCATATAATTTATTCTAGTAATGCTCTCTATTGATGATTACATTGATAAAGTCAATATATACAATTGAGAATTAAGGAGTGCTCATCAAGATAAAGTTAAAAATTTGCTTGTGCGGATTGGACAGTTTACTATACGATAGTTTATTCATATAGAAAAAGTGTTTAAAAATAGAGCATTTATTGTGAATGAATTAATCAGAAAAGTGTTCTCTTTCTTTTGCATTCTATACATAATATGAATGAGTTGATAAACGAAGCAGACAGTTAATTATTAAAGCTTTTTTTCTTCTTCCTTTCATGATATATGATGAATATTCAAATAAGCAGCAATTTCATTAGAAACCGATTGTTACTTTTACAGAAACTACTACTGCTTATTTATTTTTTTGTTTATCAAAAAGATTTTTATAATGAGGGTTTGAATGTCAGACTAAAAACTATCATTTTTGAATTTTAATTAAATATTTTTTTTGTCGTTTCTATATAATTTCACGTTGTATGTATAATGTAGCTATGAAACGGACTTTGTTTCTCTGGCAAACATCTTGATGTAAAATATCAAACAGTTTCTTTTCATAATTAAATATTAAAATATAGTGAGAAAGAGTTTCAGAAAAACTACAAGAAGAAAAATAATAGTAACAGTTATCCAAACAGTTTAAACAATAAAATATGTTGTGGATACTTGCTATATTTTTATTATGTTTTGATGGCAGCGATTCTATAACTATTGGTAAAATAGAGAATCATATTATGATTGGGAATGTTAAATACTCATTATTTAATCAAACTTATGATCAATGTATATGTGAAATGAGTAAATTGAATGGATTGGTATCTGCATTAAATTATTTTTCATCAAATCAAACTTGTCAATTATTTGATTATAATATTAGTTCTGTGTTCCTTAAACGAAATTTAAATTCTACTTTCATATTTATCAATCAATCATCAATAGAAATAATAAATATTGAATCATATAGTAAGTTTAATATTCTAAAAATGACATGCTATAATATTTCAATTTTTATGAGACTTTCGGAATTTAAATAACAGATGATTCTCATTCTTTAAATGTTGGAGTTTTTTGTGACTGTACTTTATAAAAGCTGTGTGTTTTTTAAAGAACGAATCAAATATCAGAGAAAAAACTAGCACGAGGGTGGGCGTGAGTGTCTATCATCTCATAACCCACCCACACCCTTAGATAGAATATCACTTATTCATTATTTGATTATGATATTTTTTAGATACGTCGACTTCAACAACTGACTCAGTGTAAGATGAAGTATTCTTTGTAAAGAGATATTCAACAAATTATTCATGTAATTTAGCACGTCTTCGACAACAAGCACATCCGTTACTAGTACCACAACCACTACAACAAGCACAACCACTTCATCTACCACAACAAGCACAACCACTTCGTCTACTACAACAAGCACATCTGCTTCGTCTACGACAACTACTACAACAAGTACATCCACTTCAACTACTACAACCACGACAACCAGCACATCCACGTCTACTACCACAACAAGCACAACCACTTTGACTACTACGACCACTACAACAAGCACATCCACCTCTGCTACCACGACCATGACAACAAGCACATCCAGTTCAACTGCCACAACCACCACAACAAGTACATCCGCTTCGACTACCACAACCACTACAACAAGTACATCCACCTCTACTAC